GTAGTTCAATGCCATCATCCAATCCCTGTTGGATCGACGGCTGGCGTACAGAAAACTGGAAACTTGTGGGTAGTTCAATCTACTTAAAATTTTTAAGTAGGTGATTATAATACACAAGGACCCTTCTGCGACGCCAGTAGGTGCTCTTACCAAACAGTGCACGGAGTCTTACCTCTGGCAACAGTGACAGCAGCGGAGTGGGGGAGCTCTGAAAGCGCAGTAGAAATCGCTGAGTTGTATTCCGAGTCCAGCTGGTTCACGCGCACCCTGCCTACTTCCATGTAATGGGCGATGGTGTCCTCCGGATCCATAAGGAAGTCAATTTTGAGAGATTTGTAAAGTTTCTGAAACAAATAGTGTACAACTTTGGGTTAGAATGCCGTGCGTAGCTACCCCGGTTGAACACGTTCGTGGGTGACCGAAAACCATAATAATATAGTTCAGGTTCAATAATCCTAACACAGTACAGGTATGGACTGGGAAGACGAGTTCTCTACACAGCGCAGTTTTATCCCTCTCCAGTCTACGCACTGCAAAGGCTCTCCAACACCAAGGTGGCCGAGGAATGCGGCATCTTCATTTAAGTCTGCCAATATTTTGCTAACGCTGGTTCACTGAACCAACAAACTTTTTCCGAATACCGCTAGTCGTTGCCTTTGCGTGTTTCCCTGAGAAGGAAGATTGGACAATGTACAATGACTAATATGTAATATCTCTCATATTCATTTTAGTTAGACAATTTCACCAACCGAGATGGGTATGGATGCAGTGAATAGATGTATACATTAAAGTGCATTCTGGAATATGCCATAACTATCGCTGCAGGCAGTCATCTGCTTTTTTTAGTTCACAGCGTTCAATTGTCCATGTCCTTGTATCGAACCACGATTTAGACCTACTCTTGTTCCACTACCACGCGATTTCTAGTCTAGAACAGTCATTCTCAAGCGTTCGACGTTCGGTCTGGCGTTTTATGGACACAAGCATGTTTCGAATTCACGCTCGAAAGCGTCATTAGAGGCAAGAGGTACCGCATAAGTACGATTCAGACGCCTGGAGACAGTACTTGACATGGGAGTAGCCGATAACAAACACTACTCACAGCACCAGGATCGGTGGGCAAAACTGTCAATTAATTACAATGCCGACGACCAACAAGGATGGTTAAATTGCGACAATTAGCGACGGATCCGGATGACGCCAAGTTGGACTGGTATGCAGTCGCACAACAGGTGCTGGATCCCATGTGCGTTCAACAAACTTATTGGACGATAGTTCGACTTTTACTGTCAAAAGTGGTTGCATTCTGCTGTAAATCTGGCTTTTCCCGCCATTGACAGGTATTTCAGAATGATCTACGCATTTTTGGCGTCGCATTTGCACCTCGGTTGGCTGACGTTGCCTGTGCCTGAGTCAAGCTATGGTAACCTGAGAAATAGTCT